GCTCCTTCAAGGAACGCATACAGGTATGTATGCGAACGCTTCCTTTACCTTCTTCAAAGCCCGTGGCCCACTTCTAACCCAGCCCAGCACCTCCAAGTCTCCGTCTACTACCTGCCCAGCACACGGGGCCACCCAGATTTCTGGCCTTAGGTCTCCCCTTGGTCTTCCTACCTTAGGCCCCCGGCGCCAGGGCCGCTTGGCACAGTTCCCCATGGGTCCCTGAACCATGCCAGGCCCTGAGTCCTGGGAGGATGCTGTGGATTCTGCCAGCCCCCTGCTGTTTCCAGGGACAGCCTGGAGCACTGGAGAGGATTTTCCTGGGGTTTTGTGGGCAAGATCAGGGGCGGGTGGGCAGGCGGGGAGCCCTGGGCCTGGGGCTTGGGCCCTAATCCAATCCGGGATTATCTCTGAGTATCTCTGCCAGTGTGGGGGGGTACTCAGAGTCAAGGCCCCTGGAAGGCACAGCCTCCCGGTGTTCTGCACACCCCCCCCCCCAGCCCTTCTCCTCTCAGACTTGCACTAATCTCCCCAATCAGCACCTTCAGAAGCAGACTTGGATCCCCACAGAAGAAGCTAGCACCCCGTGCCTGGGCCAGCTGGATCCCAGCTCTCCCTGAGTGGCAACTGGGGGCTGGGGGATGAAGTCCTTGGAGAGAGGGCCTACCTGCTTTTACCTTGGCCCAGTCTGAAGTCTCTGTGCCAGGACCCTGTCTCCATTCAGGGCTCATTAACCCTGTGCTGGGACCAGTGTTTGATACCTTGCATAAAGGTCAGCTCTAGGCACTGACTGGATCCCTCAGTATCAACAGAGAGGGCAGATGGGTCCCTAACTTCTCCTGACCCCTCTGGTCACCTAGGTATGAACTTGGCCCTAGGTCTGTCTTACTTCTAGCTGGGATGTGGGGTCCCTTAGTAAGGGATAGTCCCTGCCCCTTACCTGCCCATAGGCAGCCTGCACCTGGGCCTCCAGCTCACGGAGGAGGGCCCGCCTGCGGGCAGTGGGGCTGGCTAGGTCCTGGCTGGGTCCTGGCGTGTCTGTGGATGGGCTGGAGTCCCCTTCAGGGAGGCTGCCATCCGCCGGGCCCTCAGGCAGGGCCATGGACGTGGGTGTGGTATCTTTTCTGTTCCTGCTGGGTCTCGACCTGTAGGTAGGGGGCTCAGTGTGGATATATATCTCCACACCTGGCTCTGGAGGTTAGCAGAGCCTACTCCCCTAAAGTCACTGTCTTCTTCCATTGCCCCTCCCACTGTACACCTTTGAAATCTTCACCTTCCTCCTGTACAACTCCTCTACTTCAGACTGCATCCTGGGGCTCCCAAGCTGGCTGGCTTCATTCCGTCCCCATGTCCTGTCTGCACGTCTCTGGCTGGTGGTCTGAGAAGTATCTTCCTGCTCACTCTCCATCTGTTTTGCCTTTGCTAACGACCATCTTTGTCTTGGTCAAGCAGTGTTCCCATGACCCTCAGGCTCTGCAGTCTCTCTCTGTGCCTTTACCTTTCTCGCCTGCTCCCCTCGGCCCCTGCCTGCTCCCCTCGGCCCCTGCCTGCTCCCCTCGGCCCCTGCCTGCTCCCCTCGGCCCCTTTCATTGTTTCTTGGAGGCTCTTTCTCACCTTGTTCTGTCTGTCTGACCTTCCTACTCTTTTATGGCACCCGTGTTCCAACCTCTGCCTCCCCACCTCCCGTGTGGACCTCCCCACCTCCCGTGTGGACCTCCCCACCTCCCGTGTGGACCTCCCCACCGACCTGCAAGTTCTTCTCAAGGAACAAGGGCAGAGGTGCCACCAAACCTCCTTCCCCCTTGCCACACCCCAGCCACTCACCACACAGCTGCTCACTCCTTCCTCACTTCCAGAATGAGGTCAGCTGTGGCCTGCTGGCCTGCTGCGGGCCCCTCATGATTTATTCACTTGCCCTCTGCACCAGCCTTTGTCCCGGGGAACCAGATCCCACGCCATGTCTGCCATCTGAGCTGGTGACTCTATCATCCATCAATGACTCTCTTGCAAACATCAAGGCCAGGGGATGGGGGAAAAGAGAGAGGCTGGGCCTCTAGTTCACTAGGTAGAGTGCTTGCCTAGCAGGTAGACAGACCCTGGTCTCAATGCCCAGTACCCAATAAACCAGGCATAGTGGAGTACACCTGTAAAATACCCAGGGGTGGAGGTAGAAGAATCGGAAGTTCAAGGTCATCCTTGGCTACATAGTGAGTTCTAGACCGGCCTGGATTACATGAAACCCCAGGGTGGTATCTAGTCCCAGGCCGGCAGCTGGGACCACATAACAGACCCCACCTGCCCTAAGGACTCCAGTTTCGGGTGACTCTAACTCAAACAAGGGCCACCAAGCTGTCTGTGTGTGCTTGGGAACATCCACCCAGGCAGGTAAGAGGAAGGCAAAGGCTGGGTCCGCTGACATCAGGCTAGCCCTGGTTGAGGCCGACAGTCATCACTAGTGACCTGGCAGTGTCTGGGTGCTGGAACCCTCAGTTAGCACTGGACAGAAGCCTCAGGGGGCAGGGAAGGGCACCAGTGGCCTCTGTAGAAGGTATGAGCAGCAAGAGATGGGGGCATCAGAGGGTGGTGTCGGTTGAGGGTCAGCCCTGAACCCTCTGATCCTGGGAGCAGGCAGCCAGCCTCACTTCCGGAACTTTTGGCTTGGTAGGAACAGCACCTTCAGCAATGTCGGACTACAGTTGATGGGAAATTCGAGGACAGTCCCAAAGGCTGTCAGAAGGAGGCCTTGCTGTGCTTGGAGACAAGATAAGGTGCTGTAGGTGGCCTCCACAAAGAGGGAACTGTGCACTCAGCTTAGAGGTCAAGCCTGAGAGGTGTGTGGACTCTGGCCAAGGCGGTCAAGGTGGGGAAGGACATCTTGTTATTGTTCCCAGTGACTCAGCATGTGACTTTCTTCAGCCCCTCTGCACTGGGCAGGGACATCCTTGAAAACATTCCCCCGAGTTCTCCAAGATCTTAGAGGGAGCTGATAGGCTGGGCCCCCTGGGGAATTCTTTACCCTGTGACCCTCTTTTCAATCTTTTCCAGCCCTGGGGATTAAACTCAGGGCCTCACACATGCTAGACAAATGCTCGACCAGTGAGCTCCACTGCCAGCTCTGTCTCCTCTCCCGTCTCTTTTCTTTCTCCTTTCCTTCTGTCAGGCGGCTGGGATTGTAGGCATGCACCGCTCAGTACGTTCAGTGATTTATCGGAAAAGAAGAAAAAAAATGGAGGCTAACCTGTGTCTGCCTTTAGGAAGGAAGTGATGAGAAATGTGTGTCTCAAAGTGCAGTCCACGGTGGCCACAAGTTAGTGGGTGAAAGTTTTCTACAGGGACAAAGGCTTTGTCTCCTGGCTGGAAGCCCCTCCTGGCTTGCATTCAGGGAGCAGTGTCCTGGAGAGCTCATCTCCATGACCTCAATTTGACTTAGCCAAACGGAGGTTCCAGCCCTGGGGTCCAGGGTTGTTGATCAATAGGTCAGGGCACACTGGGCAGAGGCCCTCAGGAGGCACAAAAAGGGTCAGTGGCCTCTACAGAGGGGATGGACGGCAAGAGGGTGGTGTCGGTAGTGTGTCAGCTCCAAGTGCTCGGTGCAGGAGATTAGCCTTGCTTCTAGAACCTTCTATCTGGCAGGAGCAGCACCTTCGGCACTGGGTAGATGGGTGGATAATGGATGGAGGAGAGGAAGGATGGGGGGATGTATGGTCAGATATACCGACATTTGAGTGGTAGTAGTTGGAAGGATAGATAATCAATAGGTGGACAGAGGGAGGGATGAATGGACAAACAGTTAATGGATAGGCAGTTGGGTCGGTGGAGGGGACATTGGATAGCTGGATGTACAAATGGGTAGATGGATGACATCTGATGAGACAAATGCTGGTAGGTGGATAGACGGGGATGGCACAGACAGATGTTGAAAGGGCTGATGAAAATGGGGTTGGATGAGCTCGTGGAGGCTAGCTGCCTGGGGAAATGAGTATGTGGACTGAGGGCTGAATGTTTGTTAATAACTAGATAGATGGGAAGACAGATGAATGGAAGCAGGTAGATAATAAGTGCAGGATTATATATATATATATATATATATATATATATATATATATATATATATATATATATATATATATATATATATATTAAAGACATGGTCTCACGTTGTAGCCCAAACTGGCCTAGAACTCACTATGTAGCCCAGATTAGCCCCAAACTTATGGCAACCACCTGCTTTAGCCTCCTCAGTGCTGAGCTTACAGGTGTGAGCCACGGTGCCTGAGTTATAATCTGTTTATCCTTATGTGTGTGAGTGTGTGTGTTTGTTGTGTGTGTATGTGTGTGTGTGCACATGTGTGTGTCTGTGTATGTGTGTGTCTCTGTGTGTAGCTGTGTGTGTCTTTGTGTGTGTCTGTGTGTGTGTATGTGTGTGTGTGTGTGTGTGTGTGTGTGACATGTATGTGGATGTCAGAAGTGTCCTCTGCACCATCGACTTTGCTTTCCTGAGACAGGATATCTCACTGGCCTGGAACTCACCGCGAAGGGTAGACCTGCCAGCCAGCATACCCCAAAGACCTGCCGTCTCTCCCGTGCCCGGGATTGCACTACATGCCACCATACCCGTGTCTTTTACATGGGTCCTGGAGGTAAAACTCCGGTCCTCAAGCTGGCACCACAAGCACTTCCCAATTTTTCCATCTCTCAAGCTCTTGGGTTATATTGTTTATAAATCATGGCTTAGGGTGGAAACCATAGCAAAGTGGGTGCCCCCCCATGTCACTGACTGACACTAATCAACACGTGACTGAAGATGTGTCTGTCATCCCCCTGACTGTCAGCTGCAACACCTCTGGTGACAAAGACAGCGCCCTCTCTTCTGGCAGAAAAGTGAAGCCTCGGTACCCTGGTGATGCGGAGCCACTGCTAACGGCCATGGGGTTTCTTTCTGGGCTCAATGATAATGTTTTGGACTTGGTGACAATTACTCAGTGCTGCACATAATAAAACCCACAGAACATCCATTATATAAGGGTAAATTTTACATAAACCAAGGCTGTATGTGCCTTTAAACTGTCTTAGAAACAGGTGTGGATAGACACACAATCTAGATGTTGGGGATGGACAGAGGGAACTGCTTGGTCCATTGAACTGTCCAAGATGTGCTTCTGGGGTGACCCCAGAGCCAGATCAAGGTCTGGGCTTGTAGAACTGAAGGCCTGTGAGTTCAGGCAGTCATCTGGAACTCTATAAAGTGGTGCTTCTCAATCTTCTTAATGCTGCGACCCTTTAATACAGCTAGCTCCTCAAGCTGTGGTGACCCCCCCCCAACTAAAAAATTCATTGCTGCTTCATAACTGTAATTTTGCTACTGTTATGAATCATAATGTAATGTAAAGAGCATGACCCACAGTTTGAGAATCACTGTCCTAACAGTACCACACAGTCTGACAGCCAAGTCTTTAATACACAGACCTTTGGGGTCACCTATTCAAACTATAGCACCTGCTTTCCACAGTCTGTGATGCTTCTACCTAATGAAGGAATGTCTTGCAGACACCATGTCCCACCTGCATAATGGCAACAAGCCTCCCTCCCTCCCTTCTTCCTCCCTCCCTCCCTTCTTCCTCCCTCCCTCTCTCCCTCCCTCCCTCCCTTCCTCCTTAACTTCTTCCCAGGGTTGCATGGGAGATGAAATGAGATCGTTTCTATGAAAGCTCTTAGTAAGCGGCTCCGTGCTGGGCAGATGTTCCTCCAGCTGTGAGCCAGGGATGAGAGCCTGGCTCTGGCACCACCTCCTCCACTTGCTCCCAGCCCCACAAAGCCGGGGGCTCAAGGGAGGGGAAGGGCTTCCCCAGCATGAGCCTTGGTTGTTGGGGTTCTCCTGATGAGGTCATTTTGGTCCCCCCAAGTTCTAGATGGATGGTTCTGCCCCTCCACTTTCCTTGTGGCTCTGACCTACTGAGAGCCTCCATCGAGAGACCCTGCAAGGAACTGGCTAGGGTCCTGGGCATGCCAGTAGGCCTGAGCTCTCCTGTATTCTGTTCTGTTCTGACCCCACATCTGGCCTGTATGGAAAGGGCATAGGACACACGCGTTCAGGAAGTGGTTTGGAGACACCATACTGGAGGCATGGAATGCTTTCCCTCAGCCTTGCTGAGTTTTGTGGGAAAACCAGCCAGGCTACATAGTGAGACCCTCAAAAATAAATAGATGAAAACATATTTCAAAAACTATAAAAGCAGTAAGTCATGGGAGAAACTGGGCAGAAAAGGCAGGCGGCGGCTTGCGGTTCCACTGACCAGCAAGTGGAGTTGGTCTCCAGATTCCTCTGGGCTGATGAGGTTTGGGCTCAAGCAATTAGCTTCCCAGGCTTGGGAGGCGGCTCAGTCTGTCAGCTGCTTGCCTTGTGAACACAAGGACCTGACTGGAACCCCCCAGGACCCAATTAAAACAAAACAAACAACAGGCAGAACGGGTGAAGGAGAAAGGATGGTCCTTGGGGCTCACTGGCCGACCAGCCTACCCTGCGCCCCGCCAGTGAGAGACCTGTCCTCCTGCTCA